ATTGAACGGCAGTAGTTGAAGCTCAGCACCTGTTGATTCCAACCTGGAAAGCAGACGTATGATGATTCAGCTCGACGCCCTGGATAACGTGTCGCGGCTGTTATGTGCTGCTGAGGTCTGGTGTTTCATCAGCTTAGCAGCAAAATTGTGTTATACGGCACCTCCGCGAGCTATTCAAGCATTTCACTCAGGTTTTAATCATTACTACCCCCCTCAGTTAACACTGTTACTTTTTAAAACTATCGGTACGGTTTCCGTACTCTGTGTAACTACTTCCATGAGGCGGGCATGAACGACGTGGAGGCGTGGCCAGGGACCCCTGTTTGTTCCTTTGCACTGTTTTAGCAATGTAGTGGGCCAAACAGAACAGCAGCCATTTTGGCGATTTACCGATATGCGCGTGGCGGAAATTTGGCGCTGCGCTTGTTTGGCAATGGGAATACTTGCGTTACCCGTAACTTTTGTACACGATGTGGGTGGTTAGCCCCGATTTTATTTAGAATGCTCATATCGGCCCATGGTGTAAATAAAAAAGCAACAGCACGTCTCCCTTAACTTTGTGTCAACCTGTCAACAGCAGTCGAGTATGAAAAGGGCAGGAAGGGCTGCCAGTGGGTACAACCCACTTTTCGTCAGAGTCGTAACGGATCTACTCCGTAGTGCCACGCGGAAACATTGACTTGCACATCGAGTATCAGTCACTGTGTCACTGTGGCTTGGTTTCTCATCGGCTTGGTTGCATGACGATGTGGCGAGGCACCTGTGTACGCTATGCGAACGATTGCCTTGAGTCTGAATGAGCGCTGTATCCGTCTATTTATGCCGTCAGCTTTTAAGATTATTGGCATGATTCGCCTAGCCAGTGTGTTAATTTGTCTCATGCACAGGGGTACGAGTGGGGCGGGACGGGTGATTGTCAGCACTGCTTTATTTCACAAGTGCTTTTTGTGACGTCGAAATGCCACTGATCAATCGTTCAGTCTCCGCCGACGAGCGATTGGAGTAAAGGGGGAGAGCGCCCTTGCTGTAATCGCGTACTTCCCTGGTGCAATGATCAGCCACTACAATTTCCGCCCCTTGCGTCAAAATGATGACTTCCTGTCGTGAAAATGATTCTAGGCGACGTCTTTCTGCGCACGCGGATCGACGCTGGTCGTTTATAGCCAATGGAGCTAAAATTGAGCGTTTCATGAATGAAAACTTACAATGGGAAAGTTTTCCTTCAGCTGCTGCCAGTTTCTGGACAGCGGCCTTGCTGCAGTCGTACTCATGGCCCAGCCGTCGCAAGGGTTGTTGGTGCTGCGTGTTAGATCCTCCTTGGTCTTCTGTGCGTTATGGCTTCCGTTGTGTGTGCTTCCGCCACATCTTTGCTTTGTAGATGCTCGATACTCTCCGTGACTTTAACTGTTTCTTGTTGCACATCCAAAAGTACGCTTCTCAATTGCATTCTTCAGGTCATGAAGTGTCACTGGAACTTTCGCGGTATCACTACAATTAATTGTGTTCAACGCAGAGCGTTACGATCTCGGCTTTCACGTCTGTGCTGCACGGCTGCATGGTACTCAAGGCCATATTGATACATGCTGGCATTTGAGCAAACATGAGGAAAAAACGGCACTAGCTTACTTTTCTGGGTATGTGCATGTGTTCTTGTTTGCTCTTTGTTGACACCTACCGAAGGAAATAAGAACGTCTGTTTTCCTGAGACCTCCCTATATATATATATATATATATATATATATATATATATATAAATTAATTGTAATGTAATTGTATGTAAGAACACAATTAATTGTATATATATATATATAATATATATATATATATCTTCTGTGCGTGTATATTATATATGTATATATATATATATATATATATATATATATATATATATACATATACATATACGTGTGTGTGTGTGTGTGTGTGCGCGCGTGTGTGTGTGTGTGTGTGTGTGTGTGTGTGTGTGTGTGTGTGTGTGTGTGTGTGTGTGTGTGTGTGGTGTTGTGTGGTGTGTGTGTGTGTGGTGTGTGTGTGTTGTGTGTGGGTGTGTGTGTGTGTGTGTGTGTGGGTGTGTGTGTGTGTGTGTGTGTGTGTGTGTGTGTGTATGTGTGTGTGTGTGTGTGTGTGTGTGTGTGTGTGTCTGAATATCTTGAATTTTGTTTCATACATGGTTTATTTTTTAAAACAACGCGGGTTCGAATTTAACGAAGTTTTTGCGCTTCGAGTTCTCCACTTTCGTTTTCATGTTATCGTTCGGGTTAGAGAATGTTTTTGCAAAATCACTCATACATTCGTTGGTATCTGATGGTCTAATGTTTCGAGATCATATCTCATCATGGAAATAGATAAATGAAACAAATGACAGGTTTCAAACATTTAAGGAGACGGAAGTTGTACAACTATGTTGTCATGTGATTTGCTACTGCGGAGAGGGCAATCGGTCCTATAACAAGAGACAATTATTTACGTGATGACAAGTCTGCACCTGGATGTATGTAAAACTAACCAGCAATATTAAAATATCACCGGAAAAAAATAGCCAAAATCACTGGACGGCGACTAACGCCTGATACCCAGAAATTTACGCGTTATGGAAAAGTTTGCTTGTTCGTTTAGGGCTGGAGAGAATTCATTACAAAATGTGCGCCCCCAAATTTGAAAACATCTTCTGTCATCGCGTGTCTAGAGGATGTCAGTGTTGTCCGTCAGTTTCTGTCGCATTGTTGTCCTGTCATGCGCGTTTTACGGTGCTCCGAGGTTACCTAGTCGCATAAGTGTCTTGTCAGGCGTCGTAGGTCATTGCGCAGACGTGCATTTAAACATTGTTCTGACCGGACAGGACTTCTTCCGAAATTAGTACGATCAAACAGACTTCGGTGAACAATGGTTTTTCGATTCTTGTTGAAAAAGTTGCAAAGACTGCACGGGAAATCATCTTGTGACATGTAAATGACGTGAACGACCACACAAGAGACCTCATCATTTGCTATTGCAGTAGACGACTCAGGACTTTCTTATTGGAAACAGTGTGGACCAGCCTAGCCAACTCAAGTGCACTGGTACGGGGAGGTCAGTTCAAATCACAAAGGCTGCAAACATCGTTTAATTCACCACATTTTTGGATATACGACACTCCCGAACCTTTCGCGACGGAGCATCACTGGAGCACATGCAACGCGCACATGGCGGGACATTAACGCGTCAGCAACGGACAGACAACACTGACATTTTTTGGACATGTGATGACAAGACATTTCGAAATCAAGACGCCTCCAAACACTTGTTTATAAATGAACTTTTTCTAGCCCTTAACAAGCAGGCAAACTCTCGAACAGCCCTCAACACGCACCCGGCCGGCGTGCTGAACACCCCCGCTCGGGCGGGGGTCAGTTTGACCCACGATATCCCCAAAACAAGGTAGCTATAGACACCAAATTCACAGGATAGAGTAGTCTGTCCGTGAACTCACTTGAGTCAAAATTTGAGGTTCTTAGGTCATGGTCTTGGGTCAAATAAGGTCAAACAAGATCAAACTCCAGATTAGTGTTTCAAGTGCCCTCAGAGCTCCTCATGCAACCGCTGTGAAGCTAGATCCCCGTTCTAAGCAAAAGGTCAATGAAGTCGGTGACCTTGCCCAACCTTCGTAAGACCAAGGCTACCAAATACCTGGGAGATTGCTCCCATTTTGCCACTCGAATAAGCGTCAGGGGTTAGGCTAGGCTGTATGTTCCTAAAACATAATGTTGACCCGGGTCATTTTAGGTCAGGATCTACTCTGGCCTCTAAAAGTCCATGGAACGCATCTGTTGCGGTCCCCGTCATTAATAAATTTAAAATGAGCACCAGAAACTACCCCATGAATCTAGGGTCTCGAGAAAAAGCAGGTTAGTTTTGCCCTCGTTCTGACCTTTATACCTGACCCTAAATCAATGGGATTGGGGTGAAATTCTTAATTCAGACGGTTGATTGCCAAGAAACTACCGCAGATATATATGGCTTCGTCTAACACTCTGCTGTTGCATCACATTGAACGATTCCCTAGAAATGCCCTTCGCCGACGGCCATGGCCTGACTTTGACCTGCCGTACGTCAGCGACCTTACAAGGTACATCCATTTCTTACTTAAAAAGATGCTCTACTTAGTTCTCTATAGCTATGAAAACTTTGGCGCGGCTATGCCGCGCCGTCCGGAAGTCATTCTGGAATATCTTCCTCTGGTTAATTTGACCCCCAGCCGAGCGCGTGTCGAGTTACTGGGCATTGGATGTGAGTTACTGTTATGCGATTGCGGCTATGTGTCTGCGTAGAGTTCTTCCAATGGTAATGCATTGTAAAGAACTTCATGTAATGGTCTCACAACCATATGAATGTTTGCCTTGTTCATAGTAAAATATCCATGACATCGCAATGTATATACAACCCAGTCTATGACCAATCTTTATACACAGCCGCTTGGTACGGTACTTCATGTAATTCAGCAGCCGCGGTCCACTATCGATTTCACCTGCGGGTGTTGAGGGTGACACGCTGAGCTTGCCGTCTCGTCGCCGGCGAACAGTGGGCCATTCATCAACCACCTGTCAGCTTCGCTCCTTCCACACGCCATATTTGCGCCTATTCAGGCTGACTATCTGATCTGGCCCGGTCGGCACCGTCGTGTGCCTGGATCCATGGGCCTGGATGTGCCAACTAATCTGGCTCGGTCGACACCGTCGTGTGCCTGGAACCGTGCGCCTGGTTGTGCCATCTGATCTGGCTCGGTCGGCACCGTCGTGTGCCTGGATCCGTGCGCCTGGTTGTGCCATCTGATCTGGCTCGGTCGGCACCGTCGTGTGCCTGGAACCGTGCGCCTCGATGTGCCACTTAAATTCGGAGATAACATGGAAATGCCGCAAACAAAAACAAACGGACGAATTGCTGCAAAGAAGGATACGTATAGGTAAACAACGCTCAGCGCGGTGGCATAGCGCTCTGACGGCGTGGATACAGCGTGAGCACAGACGTACCGCCCTGTCGACCGGGGCACGGAGGGAGGACAGATAATGTACTGCCCTGTCGAGCAAAGCAGGGAGGGTCATGCTGGAAAAATTAGATAGGCGGTATACCGATACATCGGGCGGGTGGGAAGGGAGGGCACAAGGCACACCGATCTTGGGGGGGTAGGAAGGGAGGACAGACGGAATACTGATTTATCGGGCGGGGTGCAGAGGGAGAGCCGGAGACACGCCGCTCTGTCGGGCAGGGCGTAAAAGGACACACCTGCAAGGTGACAGGGTGGCAAGGTAACAAGGGTGGCAGGGTGACAAGGGTGGCAGTGTGACAAGGGTGGCAAGATGGCAGGGTGACAGGGTGGCAGTGTGACAAGGATGGCAGGGCGGCAGGGTGGCATGGTTGCAAGATGATAAGGGTGGCAAGGTGACGAGGGGACAGAGTGACAGGATGATGAGGGTGGCAGGGTGACAGCGTGATAGGGTGCAAGGTGACATAGTGGCATGGTGACAGGGTGGCAGAGTGGCAGGGTGGCAAGATGTCATGATGACAGAGGAAGTACTGCCTGACAGGTGCGGAGGCAGGGCGGGCAGTGCACTGCCCTATCTGGCATGGTGCAGAGGTATACGATCATATGTCACAGATATGTGACACATGATCAGAATGTCACAGGGTATAGAGAGACACACCACCAGCAGGGAGGGTGATCGAGGAAGAGCTGGCGGTGTTCTGCTGCCGTACAGGGTGCAGAGGGCGAGCTGATGATGTCATACTGTTGGGCAAGATGCAGAGAAAGGGCTAACGGTGTACAGCTCCGTCCAGCAGGTACAAAGCAAAGACGGAAGGCATGCCGTTTATTCGGGTGGAGCCCAGAGTGACAATGAACCGCTCTGCTCGGCAGTGTGCAGCTGAAGAACGGGCGCTGGACGGGCGTGCTGGGAGAGCTGATAAACGGGACGGCCGACTTCTCGCTGGTGCTCACCCAGAACTACGCTCGCAGCGGCGTCATCCGCTTCATCCGCATCTACGCCATCGACCCGTTTGTGTTCGTCACGAGCCCTGCTCAGCCGCTGCCGCAGTGGCTCTCCATCTTCCGACCATTCGAAAGTAAGTGTCTCCTTACTCATGTGTTACGTGGATGCTGGCTTCGTGCTGTGCCGTGCGTATCTGCCGGGCTGGAGCGAGCGGCCAAGGTCGGTGTAAAGGCTTTGTGCTGTGCCGTGTGTATCTGGTGGGCTGGGGCGAGCGGCCAAGGTCGGTGTAAAGGCTTTGTGCTGTGCCGTGTATCTTGTGGGCTAGGGCGAGCGGCCACGGTCGGTGTAAAGGAATCGTGCGTATTCTGTTACGGTTAATTATGTCTTTTAGTCAGGAAACACAGGCTATTGGGTTTGATTATGCATTGGCATGCTTGAATTTTGTGGCTGTTTTTATCCTACATAAGTAATTTCAAAACACCCTCATATGCCCACCCGAGCAGTAGAATTAATTTTTTTACCCGCTGCTGCGTCATCCCGGCATGAGTTCACCGGCCTCAGCATTAATTATTCTGGCCTGTTTGAGCTGCACCTGGTAAAATAGCAAAACCTGCATGAAAAGGCATCCCGTGATGACTGGACCGGTGATCGAATGGCTCACCTTTCAGCTATCGTAACCGCTCATGCTGGGCTGCTTACCCCACACCCATCTTTTTGAACGTTTTTCGCAAACCCATTTGATGGATTGATCATCAGCTAAGGTGCATGCAAGCAAAACCAGACGCCATTCCTCTAGACCTCATGGACATTCAGCTCCTTTCATCAACAACGCACTAAGCGTAGCCGTGCAATAAATCAATGTCACGCTCTTCATTCCCTTGCATCGAAAGCTGGAAGGTTATCCGATAAACGGGAAAAGGCATGCCATCTGCGACGTTACGGTGATCCCGAGTGCCCGATGCGGTGCTACATGACGCACAATTACAAATAAAGCGATCTGGAATGTTTCACATTCTTTGGGTGTTATGCTGGAGTTAAGAATGTTCTCAGCCATCAGTTAAGGTGTAGAGAATTAGTCAAGTTGTTTATAGCGTCAACGATGTTTCAGGATTTACCCGCAGTTGCCTTTAGAACAAATTTAGATAACATGACTTCTCTAAGCTTTGGGAACCGGTATCCTCCAATGCCACAAGCAGCAGTCGCTCCAGTGCAAATACACAAATACACAATTTTGATTCGCAAAGCTGACATGCATCCGTGTTCATTACTTGTTCAGATGTAGTGAGTGAATGAGTAAAACGAGCGAACCAACGTAGTCGACCATGCGGACCCCTATCACATTCCGTTTGTTTGCTTGCTGGCATGTAATTCGTGAATTCCTCATGATCTCGACATATCGATGGGGCAACATCATCGAGCAACATTTCATCAGAATTGCTGGGGAATTATGCACTGCTTAGGCCTAAGCCTGTGTTAGAGCTCACAAAACTGACTCATTTAGAAAGCTTATCACCCTAACATTCAAACACAATGTTACATTCGATGCGTGAGATCGTGTAAGATACTAATATATAGAACAAAGGCAAGTGCTATTTGGTGGTGGGGGGGGGGGGGTAATCTGATGCTGGGTTCTGTGGAGGGAAAGAGGGAAGCTGTTGGAGGGTCCTCAAAGGAAAAATGCAATTCTGTAGTCGCATCATGACGTGAACATAAAATCGTGGTTACTTGATACATGGAAGCCCTTCAGCCCCTGGTGTTTCAGCATTGTTAGTTCAGAGCTCTTATAATGGATTGTCGACGATCAACGTACCAGAAAGTGGTGGTTTAACGACGTTTGTAAAACAAACATCGGTTATATGGCCATTACTCCACGTTTCAGCTGTGATTGTGATCACGAGGTGCGCTTGCACATAAGCTGTTCGTATTATTGCTTTATGCCAGTACACATGTTTTACCTACATGAAAACTATGGCGTGATCATAAGCAAACTTGAGACGTCGTGAAAACATAAGCAACGCTTGCTCTACAATGTCATTCAGTCATCTCTCGTCTGCTGAAGGCCCATAACTCAGTACAAGAACTCGGAACTCATAAGGTCAAAATCTGTTTTGCTAGTTTTCACATACTCGAAAGCACGTCATAACTCGGCCACGGTTCCGCCCAGATATGGCCTGATGCAGCGCGGATCGAGCTGAGACAGAGGCACTGACGCGAAACCATGCATTCGGAACACATATATAGATGAAGAAATAACGTCAATCACATCTAATCTATATTATGCACACTTTTTGTGATATTTTGCCTGAGTTCAAAGACTACTCCGAGATCGCTCTCAAAACACCGGACGTGTGCGTGTCTGAATGTCGACCAGTTCAGAATCACACTCATCACCACGCCATCATCACCCCATCACCACTTTGCAGTCCACGACGTGGCGAAATGGCTCGGTTCAAACGAGCACTTGCAATGTACGCTATGCCTTGCATGTCTACCTGATTTCCAACTATGCAATGACCTTTATTTATATCGCTCATCCATAACTGCTTTTCATCCATGCATATTGTGATTGCATCTCCAGCCCCGCAACACATGCAGCACTGCATGTAGCATTTCAACACCAATATATATACGTACATACATATATATACATATATATATATATATATATATATTTCATAATAATGCTCACACGTGCCATTGAAGAGGTCTAGATGTCGCGAACAATCTCGACAACAAACGTGTTGACACCAGTATAAATGGACCGGGACGAAGTGAAGGTGTTCATACAGCCACATGTCAAGGACACCCAAGCTGTAGTGCGCGCACCGTTTTGAATGGTGCCGATTTAACGTGTTGGCGTGTTTTGTTTACGTCATTGGCGACGATGAGTCGACTGGTCGGCCACGCCGCCTGCTACCTTCGGGAGATCTATGTAGGTGCGTGCCGTCAATATGCCATTCAACAACAGTCTACCGACTAATGGGGCTGTTATAGCACTCAAGGTATTACATTGTCATAAAAAGAATGTGTTGATGTAAATGCGTTAGCACTTTGCGGTACAGTACCACGGTCATCCGCGGAATAATAATACATGATCATTTTGCTGATTATTGTTGCATATAACAGCTATTAAAAATGCACATTACACAGAACGTTTGAATTTTGTTCATTAATCTGACGATCATTATTTGTGTTTGCATGATCTGAAATCATCAGAGGTGGCTATAAGCTCAGGTATTCTTTAATTTCCAGACAGCTTTAGGCGATGCAATGTCATGAGGTCAGTTAAGTGCACATCTATGTAGGTGAACCATGGCATGTGGCTGAGGATGTTGTCGTGCGCACCCGAGTGCTAAATGCCTGCAATATCTGGCCAAAGGGTGTTTCGGATCAATATTGTAGGCATCGATCCTATCTTCCCCAGCGTCATAATTTGTGGGAACATGGCGGAATGGAAGGCGAGGGCGATGCGCGGGTGACAGTTTGCCAATGTATGACGCCGGCGCCAGGACGCCGCTTTTGGAGCCTCTCCATGCACCGCAACGGGTGCATTGATCGTGGCACACGTGATATCCATGCTAGGCGCACGTGACCCTCTCCGTGACCTATCCGAGGCGTGGGAAGCTTGCCGGTGTGACTAAGGCAATGGCCCTAGTCCTTCACAGCTGTTGGCAAATGGTATCATCAGAGATGCTATATACGGGTATACACAATGCATACACTTAGTATGCAGCGTGCATGTGCCTAGTCCACGGATGGAACCAGTTGCCAAGAATCACGCAAGTGCCGCAAATCGTGAAATAATTACGCGTGTGAAACGTGGAAGACAGCCGCCGCCCGTACGTCTGCCTTTGTAAGGCCCCGTGTGATACCAGGCCACCGACACCTGCATCCCATCTGATACCAGGCCATCGACACCCGCATCCCATCTGATACCTGGCCACCGACACCCGCATCCCATCTGATACCAGGCCACCGACACCTGCATCCCATCTGATACCGGGCCACCGACACCCGCATCCCATCTGACACCAGGCCACCGACACCTGCATCCAATCTGATATCAGGTCACCATCCTCCTGCTCCATGAGAGAGCAATTCATCGTCCCCATCGCCCCATGTGACAACAGATCACCGTCCCCTCTGCACCACGTGACATCAGGTCAGCGGCCCCTCCGTCACGTGACCGTCTGATGCGGAGAGTCGCTGGCAGGGGACTGGAGTGGGGTCGGGCCGGCGTCGCGACAGCGCCGGGCTGGGCAGCTGTTCGGTGCCAGTGGCCGCGGTGCCCGCACGCCCTCCCGCCCACTGAGCGGTGCGCCTGCTCCGGCAGCGCCGCTCTGGTTGGTCACCATCGCATCCACGGTCATCTCCGGCTGCCTGGCCTTCATGTTCACGCGGCTGCACCCGCAGCCCGAGCGGCGCTTCTCGCTCGGCCTGTCCATCTTCAACTCGTACGGCGCCATGTGCGAGAACGCCCAGCACCGTCTGCCGGCCAACTCAATCGCCGCCCAGGTTAGCACCGAGCCAGAGTCGTCTGCCGACCAACTCCACCGCCGCCCAGGTTAGCACCGAGCCAGAGTCGTCTGGCCGCTCAAGTTTGCACCAAGCCAGAATCGTCTGTCGGCCAACCCACCGCCGGACAGGTTAACACCAAGCCAGACATCTGCTGACCAACTCCACCGCTGCCCAGGTAAGTACCGAACCAGAGTCGTCTGTCAACCAACTCCACCGCCGCCCAGGTTAGCACCGAGCCAGAGTCGTCTGCCGACCAACTCCACCGCCGCCCAGGTTAGCACCGAGCCAGAGTCGTCTGCCGACCAACTCCACCGCCGCCCAGGTCAGCACCGAGCCAGAGTCGTCTGGCCGCTCAAGTTTGCACTAAGCCAGAGTCGTCTGCCGACCAACTCCACCGCAGCCCAGGTAAGCATCGAACCAGAGTCGTCTGTCAACCAACTCCACCGCCGCCCAGGTTAGCGCCGAGCCAGAGTCGTCTGGCCGCTCAAGTTTGCACCAAGCCAGAATCGTCTGTCGGCCAACCCCACCGCCGGACAGGTTAGCACCAAGCCAGTCATCTGCTGACCAGCTCCACCGCTGCCCAGGTAGGTACAGAACCAGAGTCGTCTGCCGACCAACTCCACCGCCGCCCAGGTTAGCGCCAAGCCAGAGTCGTCTGGTCGCTCAAGTTTGCACTAAGCCAGAGTCGTCTGCCGACCAACTCCACCGCAGCCCAGGTAAGCATCGAGCCAGAGTCGTCTGCCGACCAACTCCACCGCCGCCCAGGTCAGCACCGAGCCAGAGTCGTCTGGTCGCTCAAGTTCGCACTAAGCCAGAGTCGTCTATCGACCAACTCCACCGCAGCCCAGGTAAGCATCGAACCAGAGTCGTCTGTCAACCAACTCCACCGCCGCCCAGGTTAGCACCGAGCCGGAGTCGTCTGGCCGCTCAAGTTTGCACCAAGCCAGAATCGTCTGTCGGCCAATCCCACCGCCGGACAGGTTAGCACCAAGCCAGCCATCTGCTGACCAGCTCCACCGCTGCCCAGGTAGGTACCGAACCAGAGTCGTCTGCCGACCAACTCCACCGCCGCCCAGGTTAGCGCTGAGTCAGAGTCGTCTGGCCGCTCAAGTTTGCACTAAGCCAGAGTCGTCTGTCGACCAACTCCACCGCAGCCCAGGTAAGCATCGAACCAGAGTCTGTCAACCAACTCCACCGCCGCCCAGGTTAGCGCCGAGCCAGAGTCGTCTGGCCGCTCAAGTTTGCACCAAGCCAGAATCGTCTGTCGGCCAACCCCACCGCCGGCCAGGTTAGCACCAAGCCAGTCATCTGCTGACCAACTCCACCGCTGCCCGGGTTAGCACCGAACAAAAGTCGCCTGCCAACCAACTCCACCGCCATCCAGGTTAGCACCGAGCCAAAGCCGTCCGTCGGCCAACTCCGCCATCGCCCAGGTTAGCGCTGGGCAGAAAATTTACAGTTCTGTGTCCTCCACAGCAAACAAGGATATTGGTGCGCGTGGCGGTATCACCATGATGTTCTTGCTTTCGTCATCGCTAATAAGCAAAGCCACCCGGAAGGGCAGCAGTTCACCAACAGCACATAATCCAACTCGTGCACTTTGATCAATCACAGTATATTCACGAGCATGACATATTATGCATGCACGTGCGAACCATAACGCAAGGGAAGTACCTATGCGCATGTATAAGCGCCGTGGTGATCATCCCTATAGCAATCATGGCCTTCATCACAAGTAGCGCGGAACACCCAATGTAATACCGCCTTTCCGCCGTGGACAACATCCATTAGCATCGCAGCAGGCCTGCTCGCACAGGCACACACACGCGAATACAACAGCAAATTGACTCAGCGGGGGACTGAGGCAATGCGGCGTAGAGGCGACGCACGTAGCGTTCAACCTGCCACCCTGCCCCCCTCCCCCTTCTCCCCAGCTAGCACGCTGTAGTGCGGCTAACAGTGCAAACCCCGAGAGCGAGAAGGGGGGAACGGACTAACCCGGTAAGCTCCGCCGATTGCTCCGACTCCCCTAACCCGGTGGACTCCGCCGGTCGCTCCGCCTCCTCTAATCCGGCTGAGTCTACCCCGCCGACGTGGCAGACCAGGTTCGAGTCCGGGCATACGACATGCGAGTCTGGGCACACGACATGGTTCCATGCAGACTCGTGTGACGGGAATCGACTCATGTATGCCTCGGAACTGCTCAGATAAGACACGCAAGAGGAACGTGGAACAAACTGACTCCATCTTTGAACTCCGATTCTGTCTTAAGACGTATGTAACGAAGGTCCGGTTCATTCAAAATTTGAGGAACACACGCGACTTGTGCTGTAATTCCCACGCTACTCGACTTCGCACGCATCCGAATTATTCCAACGATGAACAAAGCAATTACACGCACGGCAAGCTTCTTACCTTTACGTTAAGCAGCCCATCGCCAGCTTAGCTTTATTGCCACATCACCATTGCTTTATCGCCACATGCCAGCGTACAGGTTGCTGTGTCGCGAGCGGACAATACTTTGCATCACACTTATGTGTAACGTATTTGTTTCGTACGCACAATGTCGTAGGAAAATCTTCGTATGACTTTCTGTCACGCAAGCAATTGTGCCCCAACTAATCACATGCAAATCTTATCTCTGAGAAGTCAAGATACGGTTTATAATATTTGAGCAATTCATATATAAGAAGTGGCACGGAGCACAAACGTGAGGACAAAGCTTGCGAGCCGATATTCAAGATGACCGACGGACGAAGAAAGTAATCTAATCCGTTCAACCAAGCACAAATGTAAACGGTATTCATCCGTCTGTAAATGCAAGATTAGCCATAGCAGTGTGCGCCCAAATCCATGAATTAGGGGGCACCACATACAACACAAGAGTGAAAGCCTGCTCGTGCATCCTGCGGCAGTCCCAAAGCACAGCGCGTGACTAAGACGCAGACAGCTACCCCGTGGCTTACCGAGCGTTGGCCTGGAGCGAGCTAGAAGCCGGGCTAGAAGTGCTGGGTCGTGGAAGATGTGATGAACGATGAAAGCCACGCCAACCTAATATGGAAGTGACATGTCGGCCTACCGGATTTGTATACTGCGTTAGGTGCAGACGTGCCTGATAAAACGAGACTGCTACCTACTGAGAGTCCTGTCGGAAGCCTCTGGTATGGTTGGCGTCCCAGATCACCTCAAGGGGTGCTGCGCCTGATAATATGTGTCCGAGCCGCTAATACGTGTCCGAGCGTGGCCAGTGTGACCAGAGCCATGTCCTGCCATAGACGTCAGGGGCCGCTGTCATGCATGTCAGAAGTATGCCCCAGCGGTGGCTGTGTTTCTGACCATACCTGACAGTCCAATGGTGGCTGTGTGTTCTGACCGGACCTGACAGCCCAACGGTGGCTGTGTGTTCTGACCGGACCTGACAGCCCAACGGTGGCTGTGTGTTCTGACCGGACCTGACAGCTCAATGGTGGCTGTGTGTTCTGGACAGACCTGGCAGCCACACATTGCACCGACGAGCCACTTGGGCCGCTGGAGGAGGCGAACGTCCTCACTCGGGGGGTCGCACGGAAACCCCTTAAATATGTCTCAGCTAGGGCCAATCAAGGTCTTCTGGTGTTAAGTCAAACAGGAAAAATGAAGGGTCGGCTTGGAGGCTACGTCCAACGCTCAGCTGGGAGTGCCATATTCCCCGGTTACTGACTGTCATTGGCGAAAGAAGTGCAGCGCGGCAGGCTCAGGGCAGGACAGCGCGGCAGGCTGAGGGTAGCAGAGCGCGGCAGGCTGAAGGTAGAGGAGCGCGACAGGCTGAGGGTAGGAGAATGCGGCAGGCTGAGAGCAGGAGAGTGCGGCAGGCTGAAAGTAGCAGAGCGCGGCAGGCTGAAGGTAGAAGAGCGCGGCAGGCTGAGGGTAAGAGAGCGCGGTCGGTTAAGGATAGGAGAGTGCGGCAGGCCTGAAGGTAGGAGAGCGCGGCAGGCTGAGGGTAGAAGCTGAAGGTAGAAGAGCGCGGCAGGCTGAGAGCAGGAAAGTGCAGCAGGCGAAGGTAGAAGAGCGCGGCAGGCTGAGGGTAAGATGAGCGCGGTAGGCTAAGGGTAGGAGAGTGTGGCAGGCTGAAGGTAGGAGAGCGCGGCAGGCTGAGGGTAGAAGCTGAAGGTAGAAAGAGCGCGGCAGGCTGAGAGCAGGAAAGTGCGGCAGGCCGAAGGTAGAAGAGCGCGGCAGGCTGAGGGTAAGAGAGCGCGGGTGGGCTAAGGGCAGGAGAGTGCGGCAGGCTAAAAGTAGGAGAGCGCGGCAGGCTGAGAGTAGGAGAGCGCGGCAGGCTGAGGGTAGGAGAGCGCGGCAGGCTGAGAGTAAGAGAGCGCGGTGGGCTCTCTTACGAATTTACGAATTTACGAAAGTACGAAAAAAACGAGTACGAAATTCTGGTCTGCAACGTTGTTGGATACCCTAAACACAGGTTAAAAGGTCTCTTTGCATGGCTCTCATTAATGCAAGCTTGGGTGTTCACCAACAGTTTGTGAAACAGTTCACGAACCACTTTTCGTTTGTGTTTATTCGCAGCTTCACACTGTCGACCGGTCAGCTGTCCGCGAACACCCCCCTGCTCATGAACAGTTTGTTCGCATCGTACATTGATAGAAATCGGCGAATACTAACCTTACGTTGATGTACCTGAGCGTGATGTCCTGGCACTCAACAGACTTTTTCTCGGCTGGTGGTGGCTGTACTGCATCATCATTCTCACCGCCTACAAGTCGTCGCTGGTTGCTATGATGACGGTGCCGTCATTTAGCAAGAACATAAACTCGTTGGAGGAGCTGGCGTCCAGCAGCTTCTCCTGGGGCATCACGAACACGTACGGATCCGACCCACATCCTCTTCCAGACCTCGCCGATGCCCGTTCTACCAGGTGAGGCGCCACAGTCTTTGGAGCATGCGGATCACGGGTCCTTGTGGGCCACGTTTTGGTGTTTTGATATAGGTTGAAGAAACCAAACGTCCCCGTGGTTACATGATGTGCAGTGTTACTACGCGAGAATATATGCGTAATATATTTAGAATGCATGGATCATGCAGCTATTAATACTTAACAGCGGCATGCCCAAGTCGAACGTGGGTAGCATATATAAGACAGTTTTGCTATTATGCACGCCACTACCAAGACAGAGTCGAGACACGCTTCAGAGCAGACCAGTCCGCCCCTGGCTACACACCGTCTGATCTGCAGTCCATCTTTGGAGCCATGATAGAACATTGTCAGAGTCGAACTTGCCTCAACCGATTTCTCAGCTGTTTTTCCGAACTAAACTCTCCAACAGTTGGTTGAGATAGCGAGCCGGCTGACCTCTCAAAATGATCGCCCAAAAGGTTTGAACGAACTGTATCTAAGCACGAACTCATTTTATGCAATGCCACTCAATTTCAGGAGAGAGCATTACGCAGCTGCGCCTTGGTCCAATGTCATTCCACCCACCTCCCAACTTCTTGATCGTGTTCAGGGCGGGTTTTCTAGCTATTGTAGGGTCCGTACTGACTGGCATGGATCAGATTCGCGCAAGCGGTGTCGTGTATCATGTGTGCAAACCACGTCCTGATTCCGCCTTGTCTGCGCAGATAGTCATTTCCTTGGAACCGACGTTCTTTTGTTTGAAATGTTCATTCGTGCTCAACCTTTCACGTCATCT